AGCAGGACTGCACTAGTGTGCGCAATGGAACCCTCCGGATACACACCCCTGAATCACTACTACAATTATGTGCGTTCACATGGAGGAAATAGTATAGGAAGGATCTTCCGCGTTCACAAAGCTTTGATGTAGCGACCGTAGATAACCCTGTACTACTAGTTCAGAAGTGTATTCCCTTGAAGGCTAGCTCAAACGCCATTGGCAGAACCTCTGCCCGATGTGTTCGCGACAGTTCTGCACTGTGATTTGAATGGCGCCGGTATCATCCCACATTGAAGTCTTAATTATATAAGCGAGCAATGACTTACTTTATTTTCTAAAGGCGTCCTCAGAGCCGCACACCACCTGTCTTCACATTAGTATTTATTTATGTTGGTTGACTTCTCGCATTACCAATGAGAGAGGGAAGTCTTCTAGAGTTCATGTTTTATGTGCTAGACTCAGGGTACAGCATGGTGAAGTGTGAAATAGCTGTGTCAGTAAGACCCCCCCCCTTTTCTCGCTCTAATTGTTTGCTCTGACGAGAAGGATTAGATACGTAACGACTCGCAAGCGCTTGCGGCCGCGTTATGATTCCATGGCAAATTAGCGGTGGAGCAGATCTGTTGGCCGGGTGGAAATCGCGGGGCTTTTTCTGGGGGTAATAGCTTTTTAGGTGTGGGGCTTTTGAGAAACGGAAGGCGCATGTTGAAGTAATGTCTCTACTGTTGCGTTTTCTACCTACTCGCAATCTGAATCTTCCCCCGTTCGTGAAATATTTCGGATGGGTTACGGACGCGTTAGTGGTAATCGCGAGCGGGTTTTTATGCTTCAGACGAGAATAACTTCTTTCGAACGCAATCTTTTGCAAAACTAAAAACGCCATCAGAACGCCCAATATTTCCTCTTTTCAAAAAGCTCTACAGTTTTCCTGAAAACCCGCTAGTTCAGAGGATATTTTAGGAAAATGTTAAATAGATAATTCTAGATGGGTCACCCTTGGGCGACATTCTGAGCCACTCAAAAGCTCGACTCCTTCTGTGCCATTGTAAGGATACTCATTCGCGAACTTCAATATGCCTTCGAAACACATATTCCGTTGAACTGAGTTTAAGCATAATTTGGTTATCATCGATCGATTTGGTCCGAGTGTGCGCCGTGCATTACGCTTCTACGCAGAGGTGGTGGAAAGGTGTAACTTCTGATTTTAGGTGATTTTTGTCCATGCAAGCAGATGTTTGTTTAAGGTTTGGAAGGTCGATACGCACGAATCTATTCGAGATGTACCTAGTCATCTACGTACTTACGAGTTCATGCTAACTATTGATATTGCTAATCAATTGTTTTAATATTTTGTAGTCTTCCACACATCCGGATCTTCTGCAGCTTTCGTCCGCTTCATCAAACTTGGCAATGGCACTTTTGTGCCGCATGGGTCGATAGCGGTCCTGTAGATCACGCGATCCGGGTGGTCCTCCCCCTGCACCTACATGTCCCTAGTTGTGGTCGCCCATTCCTCGAACTACGAACTCTAAAGAGAATGGACTGGCGCCTGGGGAGGGGGTCGTATTCGTATATTTCAGTGATGAAAATTAGTGGAACACTTCCCACACTCTTGCTCTTCGCCTTGGAGCACGATCCCCCATAGAGCTACAAATTCATGCTAAACTAACTTCATGTAGGTGGAAGTAATACAAGCCTCAAATTACGTTTGCTTTGAATACTGTCTTGTCAAAATTCTTTGACGAAAGGATCTCAGGGGTGAGTGGACACTGAGCTGGCGTAGGAAATTGGAGCTCAGGTTTCGTATAGTGCATGAAAATGAATGCGGCGGACGTAGGCTGAAGCCCAGCAGCGTCCGCGTTTTCTACCAGCATTTACTCACTAAGAGGTATCCCTATTAGGGGAAACATGACCACTGCTGGGCTCCAGTCCACCCCTCTAACACCCCCCCCCCCCCCCCCCCGCATCCAGTTTTACGCACTATACATAGCATCTCGGTAGATAAGCTAGCTTTTAAAGGCAATCTTCAGCTTCAGCAAAGCAGAAAACTGTTTTTGATGCTGCTGTGTTATGATAAACTGCGTGTTACAATCGACCGTGAGTTCGGCGTCCGACGATGTTCTCACAAGAATGCTGAGTTATAGACAAAAGTCGTACCCCAGACGGGAGCCGAACCCGCACCTCACGCTTTCCGGGCGAGTGCGCTATCCGTTACGCAGAAAATTCTTGTGTCCCCCTCTAACGGAGTGCTTGAGACACAAGAAGTCATCACGCTGTGGAAAATCTTTGCTGAATATGGCTCAACGATATTCCCTGCCTTGGGATGGCTACTTTTTGAATGAGCCTGCAACTTCATCAGCTCCTTAGATGGATAGGGCATAGCAAAGATGCTTCGTTGAAGACACAGATGTGTCGCTCACCTAATTGAATCTTTGCCGCATAGGGCAGTAGAGAAACGGGTTGGCAAGCTGCCCTCGCCAGTTTGGGTGGCGGATATACCCCGCGGCATGCGCATAGCAGCGGCTTCGCGCGGTCGGCTACCAAGGTTGGATCTAAACGTCAACCCAATAACCACTCAGAAAATCTCAAACGCGTACTCCCCTTCGAGAGAATGTATTCCCATGGAGGCTGATCATGTTCACCATATTGATTTTTACTTTTAGAGCTCATTTCCAGGCGTCACACTGCTGTTAAAATACGTTTGTTCGGTTGCTTCTCCAAAATTCACTTCCTTGCAACTCCTAGTGCTGCTGAACGCTATTGGTTTTCCTAGGACGCCGAGACGCCCCATCTAAAAGAAGTAGTGAGCTTGCCTCAACACAGACGGCATCATTACCCCTAAACTTAACCACCATAACTCAATAGAATATAACAAAAATGACAGTTAAGAATATTTTCCGCGATCGCAGCTAGTGATTACTGGGGTCTAACCATGAATTCGTAGGTACTAATTGTCGCTCTAATGAAGAGAGCGCCAGAAAAAACCTCGACACCCTCCTCTCCCACCTAATAGTAAGGCCCACTCGATTTTTTAGCACTGGACGAGAAGCCGGTTCAAATGCAGGTGGAGAATATCCCATGGGTCTCTACACTGCCTACAGCTGGCCCGTTCCACCGTATACCTCGAAAGAACTAAGAACAAATCTTAGAAATCTTACGATCACAACTGGTCTCAGTGTTGTATTAGGTCTTGTTCATTGCTTGCGAATCGAAAGAATCCGCGAATAGGGAGAACGCTGGCTCCTTCAAACGCTAGTGGGCGCGGTCAGTTGGTTGCCACGTGGTCCTCTGAAGGCTCACGGGTCCCGACATCCCCACATTTGCAAAATATGAACATGCGATCCTTCACAACACATTTTAAGTACTGTCCCATAGCATTTTAATAAACTTGGCAATCTTGAGAAGCCAACGACCAATTTCAAGAGGTCTTCTTAATAACAACAAAGGAACAAAAATAAAGTCGTAACTGAGAAACAGTTGTTATTGATTGAGAGATATTATTCGCAATTATGTAGATTCAGTGCAAATATGAAAGTTAGGATAGAAAATACGGAAGTAAAACAAGGGGTCAATAAGAAAGTTTTAGAGCATTTCGAGGAATTCTGACTATAACATTGAGACTCAACAGGAGCAATAACGAACGATTAACAGACAACTCAAAGATCATTTCGTAAATTAAGGCACCCAAATCCTAATCCTACTATATATCACTACAACTATAATAACAACAAACAACTAGTGAAACAGTGCTTAGCTGAAGTAATGCAATACAACTTCAATCCGTGAGGACGCCTATTTGTGATGAATAACGAGAAATAGAAGAGGTAAAACAAGATCTTGACACATAAAATTGCCCGACAAATATCAGTGAAAACAACCTAATTGACTTTTTCAGGTTTTTCTTCCTTCTTTTCTTCTTGTTCTTCAGGTTCTGCAGGTCTGTAGAGTTGATATAGCTTTGCAAGCTGTTGAAAATCGTCTACGCTTCTCGCTTCTTCGATTAACCGCCGCGAAACATCGACACCGGAGCCATACACATTGAGTAAAAGCACACCAACAACCTGAACCCGAATAAATGGAGTCGGTAGTTCGTCCGATTTGATCGCATACTGATCACCGGGACAAGGAAATGTACTGGATCCGGCTGCGGACCTGCTCACGAAAATCTACCTTTCAGGTAAAGGCCGAGTGCATCCTCACGCTAAGGCAGCGATGGCGAACGATGTACAATCGCACGAAAAATGTGAGATCAAGTTTCAGCCCCAAGCTAAGGAAAGTGCTCTGGCCATATCACACTATTACTCTGATTACCCATAAGATTGCATACCTTTCCGTCATCTCCTTTATAGAATACGACACCACGTTCAAAGCTCTCGTTGGCGTTGTCCTACAAGCAGAAAAAAAAATCAAAAAAACTACTGCTAGAATTATTTCATTGGACTAAATAAAGATATTTAGCAGTTAGGCGGGAAAGTTCTGTCACACTTTTTCGAACTCAAAATACTTGTCCATTACCTGAAGAGAGGTAACCGGCCAATGTGAGTACTTATACCTTGATGAGTGGTCTTTCTATTGGTACTACTCGCTTGACTCCTGCTTCTTCTTCTTCTTCTGCAATATGGACGAGGATTTAACCGCTGCCATCGGCACCAACTCCTCCAAGCGCTCCCTCAAACTCTTTCTTCCACCACCCCGACGCCAGTATGATAGCTACACATGCCAAAATAATGGAGCAGATATGCAGAGGCGATCGCCCTCATTATCGGACAAGCTTCCGCAGCGATGCCTAATGCTCCCGAAGGCGGGAGGCCTCAGTTTTAATGAACGATGAAGTACGGTTTGGGTTACCTGTGAACTCAGATTGAGGGAGCTGTGGGTCGTGAAAGTGCTGAATGACGTAGCTGCTTCTTCGGTCAATGCGTACGCGAAGCAGCTACGAGATCTGTTGCGTACCGTCGATCAGAGGAAAAAATTTGTCCGCACAGCCCGCCCTCATCATGATAGTGCAGCGCACACTCCGTCCAAAAAAGTTCGAGTCGAACCTCACGCAATAGAGCTGGATGGCTCTCTTTTTATACCGGTGAAGCCCAGACATTGCTCCTTCAAACAGCTAGTTGTCTCCCGTAATCAAGTCGCTATGGGCCGAGAAATCTCCATAACCGCAGTTCGAAGTCGATTGAGATGGTGCCAACTGTTGCTTCGTGGCCTCCCTGCAATTGTGAAGCGATGCATCCATGATGGTGCTCCAATGCACTGGCAAGGACCGGCCTACGCCGCAGTAACATTGCTGACAAGCTTTTGATGCTTACACGCCTCTTTATAAAAGAAAGCCAATTTGAAATAATGCGTGACGAACTTTTCCAGCCTGACCTAATAAAATAAAAACGGACATCTTTTGCGAACACAGAAACCGTTGGTAGCGATGAATCTGTGATACCGACGGCGTTGATATGCCAATGAGGAGCAATTTTAGAAAAGAACGCAGGTTGATACCTGGAAATCCGATAGAACAGTAAATCTTTGTAGTTTCAATGACTTCTTGAAAAGACTTACCAAAAGGCTTTGCCAGCACCTGTCATGTTTTCTCCTGCCAATCGCCCACTCACCTAAAGAGCGATTAATGATGCTAGGCATCCTCAACTGTTGCAACTGTTGGCTATGCATAAGGGCTCACCTGGGCATTTTCCCAGTGCTCAATTCTTCGTCGACCCAGCGATTTGTCGTAGAACGATGCCGTGTCTCCTGCAGCCCAAATGCCTGATCGAACGTGTAACTCTGCATCCGTGGTCACGCCACCCAGCCGCTTGTCAATTCTGAAAGGTAGTAACTGGAGTGGAAATTATGCGAACACCTGGGTTGATGTAGAACAGGGGACGCCAGATGACATGTCACTGACGTCACATAACACCTAAATGACGTGCTTGAAACGTCATCTACTGCGCTACAAAACGGGTTCCCTTGTCATTACCCTGTTATGCGACACTTTATCTCACTGACGTGTTAAATGAAACCGCATCCCTTGACTCTCAACAACTAATGGACCAGTGTTACACCTGTGCCGAACAGGCGATAGGAAGACTAAATCCTCAGACAATGCATTACAACAATCTGTTACGACCAGCAACAACTGTCACAGGAATTAAGGAAATATAGACGCACCTCAAGCCCAGAAGCCTCAGCTACTGCGGTATCAGGCTGGATTCCTATGCAGACAATGATGTAATCGGATGAGATAGGCTTCGATCCGTTCACCTAAAGATCCCGTTGTAGAAATAGCCGTGGTTAACTAGCTTCTCTCCATGGTAAATGAATACAAAACCAAGGAGAGCCCTACCTGCACTTCCAGCTGCTCGCCTTGCTTTCGTGCAGCGGTAATCTGCAACAAATGATCTCAGGAGTGGGGTCCCGTATTCTTTTTTGAACTAACTAGACTGTGGGCTTTAGCTTTAAAGGCGGAATATCCTATAGAATAGAATAAACACGAGAAGAAAGCGAAGCACATCAACATCTGTCATGTCGGAGGTGGTATAAGTGACTAAGTGAACAAAAAACAATGAACAACTAAATATTGACAAACTTTGGCATTAGTTATGACGTCAACTCCAAATCCACGAAGTGATTCCGTAGCCTTTTTCGACAAGAATTCCGGAAGGACTCCACTGAAGGTTCCCATGTTCAGCAATGACCTTTAATGGCATTAATTTGCGGTTTATCTTACTCCGAAAAACTGTGGAAAACAAACCTGAGTAACTTTTATATTTTGATGCTTCCTGTGAATGCTGTAAGCCAACTCTGAACCGATAAAACCGCCGCCGACGATGACAATAGATTTTGCGGATTTACATAGGGAATCAAGTACACGGTAATCGTCTATCTTGAACATTATGAAAAGTTAGTCGAAGTGTTTATCCTAGAGAGAATAGAAAAAGAAACTTTGAAAAGAACGAACCCCTCGCAAATAAAGGACTCTTTTCTTCACGTCCCCACTAGCATTTTCCAGTTCGGCTAAGGTCTTCGGCTTTCCCCCTTAAAAATTAAGCTGAGAGATAATTTTCCTCGGAGACATAAGAACAAACGCCCAACTAGATGCCGTCCAAGCAACTCAGATTACAGCCAAACTAAAAAAAGTTTCATTCAAATTACCTGTGGCAATCAGGCACTTATCGTACAATATGCAAGTACCGTCATCGAGGTAAGCTTTCTTCTCCTCAGGATTCAAGCTTTTAACTCGATGTCCTTTCAGCAGCGATACACCTCCGTGAATAGTTGATGGAAGCTCCGCCGGTGGCACAAAGAAACCCTTAAAGTGGAGATCACTTGAACTGCTACTTATTATTATAGAAGCAGTCGTAAACTTATGATACAACAAGGGAGAAGTTACGAAATGGTAGTTAATTACATCTGGTGTCAGCAAGACCGTCAAAAAAGACGAGCCTTCGGTGGCAATTACCACCGATGCGATCAAAAGAGACGCATGCGGAGTCAACCGCAGCGCTTCCGTGGCGCAATAGGCAGCGCGTTCGGCTGTTAACCGAAAGGTTGGTGGTTCGAGCCCACCCGGGAGCGAAACTTTTGCCCGCTACCTGTCCATCGCAGAAGTGGAACACTGTTTGAAGTCGACTTCAGATCCAATCAATGAACGTCTAGTGACTCACAATTAGAGCACAAAAAATTCCTGCCATGGGAGAATCGAACTCTACCCCATCTCATCATGATTACGAGGCAAAAATAGAAGTGAGGAAGAGGAACTTACTTCAGCTTCGAAGTAAATGTCGCGCTTCTTCCCGCTGAGTCCTTCGTATTGCAGGTTACTCGCCGCGTTCTCATCACCATACCACCATAATTCTTTCGACAGAGGAGGGCGATTGTATGGCAAGTGATCTTCTTCGCCAATCTGACATGTTAGCAATATAAAATGAAAGGAGGTTCAGGGAAACAGAATGGCTCAAAAAAGGCTATACAAAAAGGCGCATTTGAACGGAACTTGAAAGGGTTTCAATTCACTCGAAGCTTTTATAAAAAAACATGCAAAACATGGGTTCTACCTCAACGAAACTGGGGTATTTTGGTGCATGGCCCGAAGCATTCATTTGGGATGAGGATTGTTACCGGAATATTAGCTTAATGAGAAATATCCGGAGAGGTTGAACCAAGCCTTTCCGATCTCTTCTTAGACGTACCCACCTTACCGGAGCAGCACCAAATCCGGTACTACTTTGCAATAAACTCTTCAACTCTTTCTCGACCAAACGGAACCTGTGATCCAGAATGCAAAGCACCCGTAGCAAAATCATTTGAGTGAGATGAAGAAAGACTGGTACTGTTGACATGGAACCTTTCCAAAACGAGCGCAGAACCGTGAGCAGAACCCACTTTGTTGAGGAAATTTGGCACTAATTACTCTGCATATTTCTGAATATTTCCTTAGAGATTGGTTTAATCAGAAATCTGTTCCCCGTGACAGTCGTTTAGAGAACCCTTTTCTAAAGAGTCCTTCAGCGTCGGCATCAAGAACTACTGCGGGGCAACCTGGAGCCAAACTTACTCCGGCAGACCAAATTCGGCGAAATTCTAGCCAGCATTTCAGAAAGCGAGTAGAGGCAAAATCGTACAGGCAACATTGCATCTGGCCCCCAGAACGCCCTATTGTCTTCTGCAATTTCGCAGTAAATTATAAAGTCTAGATCAAAACCGTACCATAAGAACTTTCGCATCAGCGTGACGAGCCCGAATAGCCAACGATGCATAATATGCGGCCGCTCCGGCACCGATTAGCAGATATTCAACTGATTTCGGAACCTTAAATTGCTCAATTGAATGCCAAGTCATCAAGCTCAACCACTGAATTGCACTAACAATTGTATCAATCCCTCCCTGGGGAAAACCATTCGAATTGAAACCAAAAATTCCCTCCGGACTCCCGATTCCACTACTAGTTATGTAGAAACAATCAAAGCATCAAAAGCTCCTTACATGTGCCCCATCTAGGAAAGCAACTATTCTTTGCTGAAGAAAGTGCCAAGTCCCTATCACCTAACGTTTTGGGCGAAACTGAGTTACACGCGTCAAGGTGTCGTGCCGCAGCTTCTACTGTATGCGACTAAGAGCACGAGCATCAGTTATCCATTCTTTATCGAAGTATAAAATTTGACCAATTCAACAAGTGAGCCATGGGACAATTATATCACTCCAATGCCCAAATAAGTCATCTATAAGCCAAGCATAACAGTTCACATCCCTAACACGTCAGTTATTGAGCAAAACATAACAATTTAGAAAACTAACATATATGTCACTAAGGTAAATAAAAAATTATTCGACCTCCTCTCCAGATGAGGAGACAACGACCGTTTTCTTCTCTTCTTTTGAATCGACGGGTGAGGATGGATGTTCTTCTGAAGGCGAACTCTTTCTAGCATGTGAATCTGCGTGCTTTTCTTCATGTGAGTGAGCATCTTTGTGCTCCTCCTGCAATTAACTCGACTTCTTTCGCTGTGCTCGCAATCGAGAAATCAGACCAAGACTTCAAAGAAACGATTCGGCTGACCTCTGTATGCTTTTGTGACGGGTCCTCCTCTTTGTGACAATCATGGGCTTTTCCCTCATTCGTTGTGGGTGACGTTGTTTCATTGCCCTTAGTGGTTGGGGCTTCGGGGTGACTTTCAGCTGGTTGAGTCTCCCCTTCAGGCTCAGCCTTCGTTGCATGTGCTTCTAACTTTTCAACTTTTTCCTCCTGAATAGCCAAGCTTCAACTTTATGGACCAACCCAGAACACTGAACGAGCCACGCTCTCCTTCTTAGATTTCTTAATCTATGGAAGACTTATCATCTTACTCTGAGCTTCATTCATAGTCAGCGACAGTCCCTGCTCATCTTACTCTGAGCTTCATTCATATCAGCGACAGTCACTCGAACCACGCGACTCGAGCGAATGAATCGCTAGTACTGCGAGTCGCTAACTCTGAACGGAGCCTTACAACTACAAAACTGACAGCTATTCAAACATGCGCGTTAGTATTCAGAATGGATGCAAATGTCCATTTTTAAATAACGTTCAGCGTTCACTTTTTTTCTCGTTATTACCTACACAAACTTTAATGGACAGACTTTTGATAACAGTTTTCTTACTCTTCTCATCTTACAATCCATGTGCATTTACAGAACTTTCCAAATAAGGAGGAACTATTATTTATTTTCCTCAACTTTTACGCAAATTTTTGAGAATGTCAAATATTGGTCAGCATTTATTTAACTTTTACGCAAATTTTTTGTGAGAATGTCAAATATTGGTCAGCATTTATTTTTTTAAACAAACATTTGCAGAGCATACCTTCTCGGGTGCGTCCTCTTCCTTTTCGTGGACATGTGCTTTTGAACCATGACCTTTACTCATGATATTTTTCCCGAAAAGGTCAGTGTAGAAGGTCTGAAAACAATTTTTCATGATTACCAACAAAAAGCAAATAACCCAAATATCTATCTTATATTTTTAGGTTCCACTGCGATTCATCAGAAAAAGCTAACAATGCAGAGAGGTACAGAGCCAGGTAAACGCAATACTTTGCTGAATCAGCGATGAAACAGCCATACAGATGGTGAAAGGAGAACCCCAAAGCTCAATATGAACCTCTCTTTATATCATAGCCATGAAACTGGGATGCACGGAGCATCTACGAACAAACTGCAAGAAGTTACACCAATGAACTCAGGGCTACCCACCCTTAGCTAAGAAGCATTAGGAACTAGTGGCCACGAGCGCCAACTATTCGCACCGTAGATTTAGATTTTGAAAGCATTCACAGAGAGAGAAAATCGCGGTGACCCCAAAAAACAGAACGGTGATGGAAAAAAGAAAACTGGAAAAGGCTTTTGAAGATACCAACCACTTGTATCACAAAATAGTTCACAGCGCAGAAAAAAAACTACAAAATCTAAACTGTAGTTTTCACGAAAAACCCGAGGCAACTCAGGGTATGTAAAAGAACAATCACATCATACGGCATCGCACCTTTTTCTCCGTGACGTTTTCACACCTTCCCAATCAGCAAGCTGATTTTTCATATATCCAGTCAGATTCACAGCATGAGCTACAAAATTATACAGGAGAGCTTTAAGTTCTTTCTTGCAGAGAACATCATCGAGATGGGTGCATTGGAGGTGCCAGAACCATCTCATGTCGAAGAATGATCTCGACATGACCCTTTCTACCAATCCATCTGCTATTGTACCAACTTGTCCCAAACTGCGCCGTCGTATGGGATCTGACAAACGACCAACCATAGAAAAGAACCTCAGAGCTGAATCGGGCCCCACCGCTTGACAACCGTATACAAGCCCTTTACTCGATTTGCACAACAGCGACGTACTCTGGTTATTAGGGCTAGGGAAGTATAGGTTATAATGCGCGACTACTCTAACAAAGAAAAGAGCAGCTGGGAACGACTTGAACAGTTGAATTAATAGAAAAATGTCAACTTACTACAGCTAAAACCGTGAGTAGTATGCCTACGCCAGCTCCAATGAAAGAATAGTGATCGCTTTTCTCTGGCTTATACGGATCACTTGGAAATTTTTCGGACGGCGGCTGAAGCAATGTTGAAGTACGTCGAAAATAAACGAGATCACAACAACGATTTTTATGTCTAGGGAGGTAGAGCATTCGTTAGTTTACAATATTGCAAAAAAGAACACTCAGTGTCAAACCTTCAGACTTCCCAGCCAGTTCCTTTCACCGCTTGATGGCCTTGGAACAAACGGAGGCTGAGGTTCATCTGAAAAGTGGCTATACATGCTGAAGTACACGAGCTCTAAAGGCATTTGACACCATGAGTCCCTGAGACGAGTAGGATTAATACGCCTGGCAGAACGGGATTCCGTGCCTTTGAGCAGGCGCTGCGTAGCGCCTTTCCTAGGAAGATACCCTGATAAGGCCCTATCAAGCTGCAACATACCGACCCGGACGCCCACAGCGCCCACAAATGTCCGACCGATGCTGATGCTCGTATCGCTTCATTTGCGAAGTATTTACAATATGAAGCGAACGGGATCGATAAGGGGCTGCGGTACTGCGTGCAGTTATTGGCAAGATGCCTACGGGAAACTCGTCCGAATTGCTTTTTGGTTCAGTGAGGCTTTTTTTCGCAGGTTTTTGGCCGTTTACTTCGTTTATTTCGCCATTTTTTTCATTCCAGCACCCTGCTAGCATTTTAGACCGGGTT